CTGTGTGCATGTAAGCAGGCGGTCACCACTGGGCTGTGTGCATGTAAGCAGGCGGTCACCACTGGGCTGTGTGCATGTAAGCAGGCGGTCACCACGGGGCCGCAGCCCCATCCCAGCACCTCTCTTGCTCATACGGCTCACTTAGCACTTCCTTCAGTTTCCTGGCTGTGCAGGTTGAGCATCCCTAATAGGAAAATCCCAGTGCTCCCGAATGCTGCCTCCTGACCTCCTGTGGTTGCCGCAGAGGAAATGGAGGTGTAGAAGAGACTGCACAAGTCACCCTTAGACCGTGTGGATGAGGCGTGTGCTGTGAGACTTAGGTTCCACCCCCAAGTATCTCGTGCACACTCACATTTTCCAAAATATGACAACCCGTGGAGTCCAGTGCACTCCTCTGGTCCCTGGTGTTTTAGACAAGGGATCCTCAGCATGTGCTTTGTTACCAACAAGGGAAGGAGAAAGAATATAAAACATAGACGGTCTCCTAGAAGCTGAGTACAGATACAGAAGCTTGATACACATAAACTGGGAAGGGGAGATGGGGGGGGCTGTGACCACAAGATCGGACTTGAGCACATTCTGCCTTTTGTCCATCCTGCTCCAGCCTACACACTTCCTCTAAGGTCCAGTGAAATAGCGTACTTTAATGATGTGTTTGAGACCTAAATCTCCTTTCATACATGAAGTTGATCCATTCCCTTCATGTCCTGTCTTTGTGCTTAGAGACTCTTATCCTGTTCATGTATTTCTCCCTAGAACACAACACTGCTATATAATTTCAACATAATGCTATGTAATGACTGTTAACAGATAAGCCTTGGATTGTGTTGGAGTCAAGTCCAAGAATTTTCTAAATCAGTCATTAAGCTCTACCTTTCTTTTGATGTCTGAAGGACATTTGCAGTCCCCATGTTCATATCCTCACTACACAGCTTCACAAAGGGTTTAGAAATTGTAATTTTTCCTTAGTTGCAGAAGGTAGTTATTTTAACCCAAACACTCATCTAGACAGGAGCTACCTTGGTTTTCTGGTATTCCAGTGGCTAGAAATGCCGCTGTGGTTGTGTGAACTAGTGTTCCGGGTGTGATCAGGGCAGGACCCTCACATTTCCATCTTTCCCCCTAGGCTGGCCACCCGTTCCAACAGCGCTGTGCACAGTCAGCTTATTGCAGCAGCAAGCAGAAGTGGGAGGCACCCGTGTTCCTTCTCTTCCTGGACTGTGTGTGGCAGATCCTCCGGCAGTTCCCTTGCTCCTTTGAGTTCAATGAGCATTTTCTCATCATGCTCTTTGAGCATGCTTATGCCTCACAGTTCGGAACATTCCTGGGCAACAATGAGAGTGAAAGGTGGGTGAGCTCACACCGGGTCATTTCCTAAAAGAGATTGGGGTTTGGGTGTATGTGAATGTTTGTTTATAAGAAGGTGGAATCTGCTGTTAAGTACAGATGTCCTGTGAGCCAAGTGTATGCCAGGTAAGAGGGAACCCTAAGCTTTCTGCTACTGGACTAAAATTAGTTGATACACTTCTTAAAAGCTTTTAGCCAGCCGTTTTCATGTTAATGTCTTGATGTGTGACCACAATTGCATATATCTGGGGGACACATTATCGTATAACCAGGTATGCCCTCCGTCCACTTCTGTAGTTCAGAAGAGTGAGATCCAGAGAAGCTGACTGTCAGAGACACACAGCTAGAAAGCCATCCAAAGTGTGGCCTGGGTGGGGCTGGAGATGGCTAAGCAATTAGAGCAGGTTCAACTCTTTTAGAGGACCCAAACTGTGTCCCTAGCACTCTCACTGGACAGCTCACAACTGCTTGTAACTTCACCTCCAAAGGATCCAACGCCCTAACTGCACTCATGTGCGCATAAGTATGTATGCATACAGCTGTATATATCAACAGCTGGATACTCAAAATTGAAAACTTGAAGAATGAATCTTTTCACAAGTATACCCTTAATACAGGTCTTCTGGCTCCTGTTTCACCTGGAAGCTGTCCCCAGGTCCTGAGTGACAGTGCTGCTTCACAGCCCTGCCACTGCCAGGTTACAGAAGGGAGTTCCACAGCAGACGCCCCTGACTAATGTTTTCATTCTGAAGCATTTTGTTTCTCTACTGAGCGCCTTGTTTTCTGTCACACGGGGAGGAGGTGAAGTCCTATAAAGAGGAGCACTGAAGGGCGGGTGTTAGCCGTTGATGGATTTAATGGTGATTTTCTTTTTTGAGCAGATGTAAGTTGAAGCTACAGCAGAAAACGATGTCTTTGTGGTCATGGGTCAACAGGCCCAGTGAGCTGAGTAAATTCACCAATCCACTCTTTGAAGCCAACAGCCTGGTCATCTGGCCTTCCGTAGCTCCACAGAGTCTCCAGCTGTGGGAAGGTAATTCCCCCCATGTGCAGAGGTTCACCCACTCCAGGCTGTGCCCGGAGCTTACCTAGGGTCACATGCTGCAGTAGTTGGGATTTGAAGATGGCCAGCTGGTGACCCACCGACCTGTGTTTTGGATATTGCTGTTTCCTCAGTGTGGGCATGGCCTCTCTTCCATGGCAGCTGACTAACAGGCAGAGATTAACAGGAATGCTTTGGTAGGAATTGGTAGGTAGCTGGGACATAAATGATTTGTAAGTTCCTCAGGGAAGGTTTCATCTATTTCCTTTCTTAAGCTGTTAATACAGTTAAGTGAGTGTTAAATGATGACACACAGTTATTCCAGTAGGTTCTGTAAGTAGATACAAAATGCTATCAGTGGGAGTTGCAAGTGCTGCTGTTCATGTGGAATAGCAGTTCATAATGCATTTCTGAGTGTGTTCTAAAACAGCTTCTTACATGTGCAATTATTCAGACCACTGAAGCTAATCTCCTTAAACACCAAAGCTTGTTTAAAAAAAAAAAGACCAGAACTCACATAAAGTATATTAGATGTTCATTCCACTGGGACAGTGAAAGAACCGTTTAACTTGGTAATCACTTGGAAGACAGTAAGTGCATCTCCGTGCACGTTTGCACTAAGCACTAAGTAGCGTAGACACAGGAAGACCGATGTTTGGTAAGTTCACCTAGGTTACTGTGAATGCCCCTTGTTAACTCCTTCTAATGTACTGTGCTGTCAGGGTAGCTCATGTATGGACAGTGATTTCCTGTTGTGTGAGGCTTTCTCTGACTGGTTTTCCTCTTGTTCCTCTTGGTTCCTCTGTGGAATGCATCCTCCTCCTCAGGCTAGGTGCCTCCTCCCTTCTTAGAATTCGGGAACTAGATGCCTTTAGCAGTGTCTAGGTTCCCTGAGCAGGAGCACTGTGATTTGAATCTGTGAGGGAGTTTGACTGCCCTGAGCAGAACCTCTCTGCGTACTCTCTGGATTGTTGTGGACAGCCACAGATCAGAAAATAAGTAATTTCTTAAATGAGAACTTGCCGCTCTGCTTCCTTTTTAAAGATCTTGGGGATGGTGAAGTGCCTCAGTGACAGCCTGGGTTCTGTCCCCAGGGTTCATATGGTGGAAGTGGAGAATCCACTGGCTCTGGCAGCTTGTTTTCTGACATACACATACACACACACACACATGCACGCACGCACGCACGCACACACGCACACATCTAAATAAAATGTAATAAAAATTTTTACCGTTTCTGAGGCAGTTTACTTGAAAGACACTGTCATACTTAATCACTGAAATGAGAGGCCAGATGTTTGAGACACATGCCCAGTCTGGAGTGGGTGGCCTGAAATATGGTTTAATGATTTTACCAACCCTTGATGGGAATTTAGAGGTGATGTGGTGGAGAGAACACAATTGCTGTCTGTTTCTCTTAGGAGGCATTAACAGTGACTTCTAGTTGAAGAACAGTAGACTGGGTAGTTGTGAACTGAAGCACCAACATGACCAGCTTTCTCTTAAACCGTTGTCCTCCATGTTTGTGGATTCTGCATGCACAGACAGAACTAGCTATAGATTGGACATTTAAAAAAGTTTGCTTTGTGGCAGGTCGGTTTCTTGTTCTTATCACCTGAACAGCCCAGCGCCACATGTTTACAGTGTTCACACTGATTAGGAACAGACATCAGATGCTTATGTGCACAGGTTAGAATCGAGCACTCTTGTCATTTGATGGAAAGGGTTCAGGATCCAAGAACGTGATCCTCAGAGGTGATTCTGGAACCAGCCACCTGAAGTGATGTCACCCTCCCAGTCCATAAGCTGGGGATGGTTGTCTGAGGAGAGGAGCAGTTGCCTGTGGAGTTGGAAGGTTGAGTAATGGTGGTGGCGGAGTGACGTGAGTCATGGATAGTTCAGGTTGAGGCTTAAATAACAACCCGTGCCTCTGATGTTTCTGTCACCACCACTTTTCCTGTGAGAATGGCTTCACTCAGGCAGCCAGCCTCCCTGACTATGAAAGTAGAGACATGGCACTGTAACTTGCCTGCTTATGTTCACGAGTATGTGACAACAGTGTTTTTGTCTGATAACCTGTGAGCATGTCCATGACAACAGTAGTTTCTAGACACTGTGGATTCTTTCAGTGGCTGAGGAATCTGTGGTTTAGAGAATCATGAAGCACAGAGTGAGCCAGGTGTGATGGTTCATGCTTGGAATCCTGTCCACTTGGAGACTGAGACAGGGTCATGGAGGAGCATGAGTTTCAGGCTAGCTTGGCCCTTTGAGTGGGACCTGTTTCTCAAAATCAGGAAGGGCTGTAGCTCCATGGTAGAGTATTTGCCTGGCATGTGCAAGGCCCTGGGTTCAGTGTCCGGCCCTGCAAAACAGCAATCTAAACAAATACAGCACGGGTTGTGGAAGAACGAACAGTCGTGCACAGAGTTCCCAGTGGCATCAGACTGCTGTGCCGAACCTCTTACTCCCTCTGTTTCCGTTCCGGACCCTACAGGGATTTTCCTGCGCTGGAGCAGATCCTCTAAGTATCTGGATGAAGCATACGAGGAGATGGTTAACATCATTGAGTATAACAAGGAGTTACAAGCCAAAGTCAATATCCTGAGGAGGCAGTTGGCCGAACTGGAGACAGAGGATGGGCTACAGGAGAGTCCTTGAACGATCTCCCCACCTGTCCTGAGGACCTGTCTAGGCCTGAGTCCGTCTCTCCCTCTGTTTGCCCCTGAGTTCACTGTACACAGTAGCCTTGAACTTGGCTATAGGTGTGGGATCCTGTAGCATGGCTTTCTGAGCACTGCAAGATGGAAGTCACTAACACACACCAGTATGGCCTGTTAGGCCCTTTGCCGTGGGAGCAGAGGTGCTGTCACATCACTGACTGTGACACCTGTGCCCTATGCTGTCCTCCATCTCCACTTCCCAAACAGTGGTCCAGACTAGTTAAGAATCCATCTAAAACATGGGCCAGACTTCTGAATTCAAGTATAGAAGTGGTTTTTAAAACAGAAGTGGTTGAGAAGCCAGACTTTCGTGTTTAGCACGGCTTCCAGCCTCTATTCCTTACCCCCAGGTATAAAATAACCGTTCTCCTTTAGAATAGTTTTGGGCTAACAAAGCCTATTTTGTCAAGAAGGAAAAATCAGAATAGTTATTTGTGATAAATCATTCTACGAGGGCAACAGGTGTGGTCCTCTGATGATTTTATTAAGAAAAAGTAAATTTACAACTAGCCACTAAAAGTCTGTGCCGTAGAGAATTGAAGTAGGAATTCCTCACTGGTAGCCATCTGCTTTTTAGGTTTCTGACCATACATACAAAAAGTGCTTTGAGTGATGGGTGTGAATGAAGCCGTAGCTTGAATAGAATTCACTTTTTAGAACTATATAACATGTACAGAATCCATAAGCTGAGGTCTTACTGCACTGGTTGGAATCTCTGTGTGACTTATTTTACTTTTAAATATTCTGAGTGGACTTGTGCCACAGCTAGACTTGGATGTCAACTTGAACCATTTGTAAGTCTGTCTGCCGACTTGTTCTTTCTGTGCTAGGCAACCAGGGCTGACTGGAGTGGGAGGCTGGGCAAGTGGCTCCGCTCTTTGCAGCCTCCCTTCCCGAGTCATCGGAAGCAGTGGTGCAGTGGCCGCCTTCGGCTCTGGGCGCTGCACCTGTGTGTGTCTGTGGCTTAGTGCTTTCCAGGTGTCCGTCTCTTGGTAGTCGTCGACTGCTGGCCATTGCAAGTGCTGTCCTTTGTAGACGAGGACAGTGGAAGTGTGATTCAAGCCATTTCAACCTCATCGGTATCTAATCATTCCCCAGGACCTTCTCCAGAGGTGTGTTTCAAGTTGAAAACAGAACTGCTGGAGGCAGCACCTCTGATTCCAACACTTGGGAGGCTAAGGCAGGATGACTTCAGTTTGAGGCCAGCCTGAGCTGTATAGTGGGTTCCTGGCTAGCCTGACCTACAGAGTGAGACTGTCTAAAAGACGCCAGCAGGAGCTGTGGCCCCTGCTGAGCATCGGGAAGCAGCCACTGCTTTCCATTCCAGTTGCCTTGCCTCTTTCTTGCTCCTTCCTGCCTTTCCACCTGTGGCAGAAAGTCAGGAACCAATCAGCAGTCTCGATTCTGCCGGTGGATTTGTCCACCGCCACCTCTGAGCTCAGCTCTGTTCTTGACCTGCTCTTTGGCTCACTGATGAGCAGAGCACAAGCGAGACTTCCCTGCTGTAGGTCTGTTTTATGTGAATTGACCATCTTAGTTCAAAGAAGAAATGGCTTGGATTTCCTGGGGCTGCTCAGTCAAGAGCCCTATCTGTCACTCTGCCGCCACCCTGCATGTTTTCTCCGACTGTCTCAGCTATGTGTGAAGGAGTCCTTGACCTCTCAGCTGATGGACCCATAGAAAACCATCTGGAGGGTTTTTCCTTTGTAGTTCATTAGAAGTGAGTCCCACTGCTGTGGAGCAGCCTTAAGGCTTCTGTGCACAGAAACTTGGGAATTTATTATGCTTAGCTAGGGAGAGATCCACTGCTCCCCAGGCCCTCCTGTGTGCCTGTCTCCCTTAGGAATACTTGGTGTGCATCCAGAGTCATACCAGTGCTATCAGTACCTTTGCCTGCTTCCTTTTCCCACGAAGCAGCAATCATCAGTTTTTGACAAGCTTGCATTTTAGTGTGGATTTATAAATAGTTTATCCAAATACCAGCTTCAAAAGCAAACCTTTGTATCAGTCCACTTTCCAAGGGTCATTTAATAATGCAAATATGAGTTTCCCTAAACTCAAGAACTCGATCAAACACAGGTGTGTTATCACTGTGAGTTGGGGGTTTTGTGGAGTCACAGAGTCCACACCCTTCCCTTGGGTGCAGTGAAGAAATACAGAAGCTACACTCGGGAAACTGGTCTGTGTTTTGCTGAGTTGCTTGAATGACTGTGGCTCTAAAACCTTTAGTGAAGAGGATGGAGGCACAATTCACAGGCAAGTAAGGCCGTGTAGTACTAACCAAGTGAGCCCTCAGACTCCCGTGTACCCACGGTCTCTGCTTCCATCTGAGGGGGATTTCACAGTGCAGGCCATAGACAGAGTATCAGAGGTCATTACCCTCCTTCATTAGCTGTGCAGGGAGGCTTTGGTTACATCAGCAAACCAGAGCTACTTGATCATCCAAGAAACCTGAACCAACTTCGTTGGCAAGACTTTACAGTGATGTCAGTAATCTTTTTATTACATACCATGAAGAGAAAAGCAAAAATAATAAAATCCAATAATCTTAACACATTTTAAGGAAAGATTAGACTGTTAAAAGGCAAAAAATTTCGAGTGATCTTTTCAACAAATCTAAGAAGATGGTAGCCGACAGTTATTGAAAATTCCATATCCAGGGTCTAAATACTTTGAATGTGAGGCCTGACATAGAGTTGGGTCTTACTGATGCATTTCATTTTGAAAAAGGAAGTTTAGTGGGATTTTCGTCTTTGATTTAGTCAGGATTTGATTTGTGTTGAGTCAATATCCCAGGAAAGATTTGCCCAGAATCTAATCTCCCACTGTGAAAACTAAAGCAGAGCATTTGCCCACATCTCAGCTGTCAGAGCCCCTGGCCCCGGGGAGCTGTCTGGTTCGGCTGGAGCTGCAGTCACTGTTAGACTTGCTATCCGACCTCATCTGAAGCTGAGGCTGTCCACTCACACTAGTGACAGCTGCATGAGGGTGTGGCCATTCGGCCTTAGATAAAGCTCTTCCTGGGCAGGAAAATGGGCAGGGGCTAAGGTAGTTCCCACCCCATCTGATTCTGGAAGCTTTGGTCTTCACCAGCAGATGTCGTCCGTCATTGGGCACATCTGGTACAGATGATAGCATAGCTTCTCGTTGTGTCTCAAGATGGCTTCCTTGCACTTTCGAGCTGGAATCTTACGTCACTACCGGAGGGTGTTTTCGTCATTTCAGCAGCAAACATCAAGAGACCGGCTTCTCCTTCTGTATTTATTGGCAGAAGACACAATGTGCAAAATTTCTTTTCTACTGGGCGTTTCCAGATCTTTGTTCTAATAAACTTGGTTCTGCTTTCACTCTGTCTTATAATCTACTGTCCACAGCAATTTTCTTCCTTTGACCATCCCGAAGGAAACTCGGGATTGTAGAACTAGGTTGTAGACTTCTGAACTACAGCCCTGAAGAGGCGCAGATTGTGCTGGTGGTGAGCAGTACCCGGGGAGCTCACTGTGGGCAATGCACTGTCCTCATGGCGCCAACTCTCAGAGCCGTTCTCCCCAGCCTCCTGCAAGTCCAAGGGCTGACACTGGACTTGTCATAGGATGACATCGGCAGCACTGCCTGCTTCTGTTTGCGGAGGCGGTGGCTCCACTCTTGAACTGCATGTCTTGGGGGAACTTAGGGTGTTCCCACAAGTGTATATAGAGCCCTGTTACACGTAGGGTGTTCCTACAAGTGTATGTAGTACCCTCTTATATATAGGGTGTTCCCACAAGTGTATATAGAGCCCTGTTACACGTAGGGTGTTCCCACAAGTGTATATAGAACCCTGTTACATGTAGGGTGTTCCTACAAGTGTATGTAGAACCCTGTTACATGTAGGGTGTTCCCACAAGTGTATGTAGAACCCTGTTATACATAGGGTGTTCCCACAAGTGTATGTAGAACCCTGTTACATGTAGGGTGTTCCCACAAGTGTATATAGAACCCTGTTACATGTAGGGTGTTCCCACAAGTGTATATAGAACCCTGTTTCTTAGTCCTTACAGATTGGTCAGGCATATGCTAAAAATAATTGTACATATACAACTTAGTTTAGAATATGTATTTCTTCAGTAGCTCAGCATTAGGATTGTACTGTGCATATTTGAATGTGACTATCAAAGCACACTGTTATTCATGTCTTACACAATAAAGTTGCACTGTATGTCAAACATGTTTATAATGAATGCTTTGCTGAAACTTGAGAATGCTGTCTGGAACAGTTTTTTATTGTACGTCTGTCTGTGCATGTGAGTAGGCACACACGTCTACGCTTAGGGAAACCTCTGAGCTTTTGTAAGTCTGTACATTTCACTACTGCCTGTAGTGTTCTCTTCATGAGCTGATTTATGTCATGTAGCTGGAGCCAGCCCCCTGAGTCAATTTGTCACCTGATATATCACATGGAGAAACAGCCTATTGAGTATGGTACTAGTCGGTATATAGTATTTTTGTGTCGTGTTCTCCCTCTGCCTCAGAGGACGTTACAAAGATGCTGGTGTTAAAGTTCTAGACAATAGTAATAAAATTCAAATATATTCAAATGCTGCTGTATGGAATCTGATTTTTACCATGTCTGAATATTTGTGAGGGCTTTTGTGTTTCAGTTGAAGTTGCTATATTTCTACATTATTATTATTGGTGGTGGTGGTAGTAGTAGTAGTAGTATGGATATTTTGCCTGCATGTATATCTATGCACTACATTCAGTTCCCAAGGAGGCCAGAAGAGAGCGTGAGAGCCCCCCTGGGACTAGAGATACAGGCGGTTGTGAGCTGCCAAGTGGGTACTGAGAACAGAGCCTGGGTACCTGGGAGAGCAGCCAGTGCTTGGCTAGTGCTGAGCCATCTCTCCATACATTGTTTAAAAATTAAGATCTGCAAAACAGTACGGTGATCTCTTCTATGCCGTCCTTCAGGCGTGAATGAGAACATTCCTGCATTTTTTACACTCTGTGTGTGTGTTGCTGCTACTGTTATTTTGCTAATGTACAAGTAAGCCTCAGATATGACTTCCCTACAAACAGGCATTTCCCATTTAAGATTGTGTACTTACTGTAAATACTAATTACTGAGTATGTATACTAATAGTTAATTAAAGATAAGTTACAGAGGAAAGTCGAATGCTAGCTATTGAATATAGAAGACATGAGAAAATCATCATCTTTATTGACTTAGGTAGCATCATGGTAAAACTAACAAGCAAAAGTTTGTGGGCACAAGATATTGTGTGGATGTACGCACTTGGATGTTGGGGGGCACATAGGGAGAAGCCTGAGTTCCACCTGGTGTGTCTTCTTCAGTCACTTTTCACCCTATTTTTTGAGACAGTCTCTCACAGAACCTGGCTCACCCATTTGGTTACACCATCTGACCAGTGAGCCCCAGGGAGCCTCCCATCTCTACCACACCCATGTTGTGTGTGTGCATACAGATGTGTGCTGTGCTGCCATGCTTGGCTATCATGTGGGTGCTGGAGATCTGAACTTAGGTCCTCAGGATTACATGGCACCCAGGCAACCAACTGATCCATCTCCCTAGACTGTAGCAGACTCTGCCATCCACAGACTTTTGCCAGTGTCTCACTTTAACCTAAGGACTGTCTGAAAAACTGATCCCAGGTTCTCTTCTCCGACTCTCCTGACCTAGCACAGGCTGAAAGCAGAAGTGCCATAAGAAAGAACAGTCCCTGTGGATCTTAGGAAGGTCGTCAATGACAGCGGGGACAAACTCTTGGACAAAGTAAGAGTTCAGAGCAATCTGTGTGTCTGGGGGAGTCCAGAGGGCCATGTGTATGCCAAATGAGAAAAAGTGTGCTCAAAATGTCCCAGAACTTAAAAGCTCTCACACAGGGGCAATCCTTTTCAGTTTGGTGCACACCTAAGTGTGGAGAATACCAGTATAAAGTGATGTGCAGATGGGAAGAAGTACCCTGGTACATTGTTTGAAGTTGTGTTTAAGGCTCCTGGTAACCAAGGAAATCCTTTTCAAAATAGTACTTGGTAGCTGAAGAGTTTCTCTCCAGCTCCCACCAAGCCCCTGCAGTCCCAAAGCCCACTTATAAAATAAACACACACTTATATTATTTATACTGTTTGGCCTGATGGCTCAGGCTTCTAGCTAGCTGTTCTTATATCTTAAATTAACCCATTTCTATAAATCTATAACTTGCCACATGCTTACCAGTATCTTACATGTTGGTACTCATGGTGGCGGCTGGCAGCATCTCTCTGACTCAGCCTTCCACTTCCCAGAATTCTCTTCTCTCCTTGTCACGCCTATACTTCCTGCCTGGCTACTTTTATTCAAAAGAGCAAAATAAATTGAAAATAGCTATACTACACAGGATGGAGTCATGACACTGGACTCATAAATCAAACAACTTTGTTAAATATGTGCAGCGGGTTAAAGAAAAACATTAACAAGGTACTAAATAAAATAGTGTTTCAACAAAATGGAAATTAAAATATGGAAATTATAGAAAAAAAATGGAAATCTCAGAGCTGAAAAATGAGCCTGAAATGAAAGACTTAGTAGAAATGTTGAACAATGTTTGACCTAGCAGAAGAAGAGATCAACAGAGCTGAAGAACAAATTACCCAGTGTGTGGAACAGAAGGAAGGAGAACGTGAGCAGATCTGTGGGGCTCCATCAAGTAGACACAATATGGATAATGGAGTCCCAGGAGCGGAAGAACTAGAAGGAAGGGCTGAGCACTCCACATATTTGATGAAAGGCATAAGTATACAAATTCAAGAGGCTGAGATCTTATTCCAATAGAATAAGCTCCAAACCTGTGCCAAGACCCGTTATCCTGAAACGGAGATCTCTCTCTCTCTCTCTCTCTCTCTCTCTCTCTCTCTCTCACACACACACACACACACACACACACACACACACACACACACACGCATTTAATATTACTGGTCTTCAGTAAGAAATTTATAAACTAGTTTCTCAACAAAAGCCATAGAGCCCACAGATCAATGGCATGATATTGAGAATCTGTCAAAAAGAAGGAAAATCCAGATGTTCCTAGATAAAGGAAAACTGAGGAAATTTGTTACCAGTGGATATGCCCCACAAAAAAAAAACTAAAGGAAGTCATCCAGGAAGTGTCAAGGTGTGCCAGGAAATAATTATTTGAACCCATATGGAGAAAAAAAAAAAAAGGCATGTCTCCGGTATATGTGATTACAAACGCAAATATAAAAATCATTGCTACTGTGATTTTAGTTTGTAAATTTTTTTAAAGATATGTGAATGAAAAGCCAAGATTATTAATCTATGTTAAGGAGTTGATTACCACTAAATGTGACCTTTGAAGAGTGCTCACAGGAGACCTGCAGGGTAAAATAAAAGGGTATTAGAAAATAACTTAAATGTGAGTGAGCAAATGTTTATCTTTGATAAGAGGAAACGAGAGGGTAAATAGAGAAATCAAAATGGTTGCAGTTTGGATTGTAACTTCACATGTTTGCAAGAATAAAGAAATGCATAACATTTAATGTGTATTGTGTATAACGATTTGAGGCATCGGTGAGGACCTAATTAACATACCAATCAAAATTTACCAACCCATCCTAGCTCATTAGAACACAGATCTCCCCATTTTCCCTCTTAAAATTAACACTTGCAAAGCTATATGCTGTTGTTTCTGCCCGATGAAGATTCAGTCACCTTGTCTCTTAGCCATGTTTAATAAAAGATCTCTTTGTGTTTGGAAATTGGTGTTTGGGTGTGGTCTGTGCCCCTTCCAGGGTCCAGAGGGGAGTACTCCTCGGTGCTCTGTGCTCCAGTCTCTTCAGTAGGGACTAGATGATGCTTATACACTTTTTAATTGTTTGGGTTTGTGCTGAGAGCCAAAGCTTCCACAGGGCAAGTGAGGGAATTTCTACCCTCAGTGTCTAAGCTGGGCTCACAGAAGCTTGCTTAGCTGACTAAGGACACAGGACACAAAGGGGGGGGGGGCATAGGACACAAGGCAGGCACAGGCTTGGAGAGCCAGGCTGGTACAGGAGCCCATGGTTCTGAAGCCAGGAAGCTGCCAGCAGGGTGCTTTCAACATGGGACTGACTTTCTTAGAGCCTTTTAGTCACCCAATCAGGATTCAAACCTAGTAGGCCTTCCTGTACAGGGGAAACCAACCGTTATCACTTTAGAGATGTTGGAAGGGGCCTTACAGCTGTGTCCCCTACACTCTGGAGCCTATGGATCATGTGGAGGTCTTGTTACAAGGCAGATTCCTCTGTTTTGTGTTTGGGCCCTGTCTTTGTAATGGTTTCTATTGCTGTGAAGGGACACCATGACAACTCTTACAAGGAAAACATTTAATTGGGGCTGGCCTACAGTTTCAGAGGTTTAGTCCATTATCATGGTGGGGAGCATGGTGGGCATGCAGGCAGACATGGTGCTGGAGAAGGAGCTGACAGTCTTACATCTTGATCTGCAGACAAGAGACTGTGATACACTGGCCAGGCTTGAGCTTCTGAGACCTCAAAGCCCACCCCCATGGTGATGCACTTCCTCTAACAAGGCCACACCTCCTAAAAGTGCCACTCCCTTTGGGATTTTTTTTTTTTTTTTTTTTTTTTTTTTTGGTTTTTCAAGACAGGGTTACTTTGTGTAGTTTTGGTGCCTGTCCTGGATCTCACTCTGTAGACCAGACTGGCCTCGAACTCACAGAGATCCACCTGACTCTGTCTCCTCAGTGCTGGAATTAAAGGCGTGCAACATCACCACCCAGCAGGAACTGTTTTCTTTCAAACCACCACAGGCCTGCTGCTTGCTCTGGGATCACACTGTGAGTACCAAGCCCCTGGTGCTTGGAACCCTCACTGTGTTACTGAGGTTTTTAGGTCTTGGAGCCTTAAAAAACTAGGCTTGGCCATCCACCCTCAATATGCTTATCAAAGAGACCCGTAATAGTGAAAAGCAGAGGAAGAGTTATTCAACATGACCACACTAGGAACAGGAACACACATGAGATCATGCTGACAAAGTAAACACAGCTCTCACAATGGAAAGGAAGTTGGTTCTAGAGCCGAATATGAAGACCATGGACCAGAAACAGAGTCAGGAGACCCTGAATGTCATGTTCCAACATGGCAACAGTTTCATGAAGATTTTATAATAACAAAACAAGAATCATAAATTTTAGACTTTTGAAAAATATTTCATTTTATGGATATTTTGCCAGCACGTATGTCTGTGCACTATGGTGCACCAGGTGGCCCTGCGGGTTAGAATGTGTAAGATCCCCTGGAACTGGAGTTACAGATGGTCCCTAGCCACCATGTCAGTGCTGGGAATCAAAACCAGGTCTTCTGGGAGAGTTCTTGGTGCTCTGAACTACTGAGCCGTTTCTCCAGCTCAAATGAAGACATTCTAAAACACAGGGGTGGGAACATGAGGTAGGCAGTGGCAGCGGAGACCGGAAGTAGCTCTCAGACAGTATTGGAAGACATTCTTGTTTGGATTTGTACTAGCAGCTTTCTATTCCTGTGAAAAACACCATGACCAAAATCAACTTGGGGCCTAGCGGTG